GCTTCCCCCCCTCCCGCTTCCCCCCTCAGGCGCTGTGGGGGGGGAGGGAGCGGGCAGGTGGCGGCCCTGAGGGGCGGGAAGCGCGGGGAGCCCCCGGGACCGGCACGACTGGGGGTGTGGGGGCTCCTGTCAGCGGTCCCCGGGGTGGGGGGGAGCCCGGCGCCGCGTCCCGGAGGGGAAGGCGGTGCTCCCGGCGCTGTTCCGGGGGGTGTCACCGCCATGTAGCGGCCCTTCCTCGGTGGGGAAGCGGCTTTTGCTGGGTTTGAAGGCGTTTTCCAGCGGGTTTTGTCCGTATGGGGCCTTTTTTGTTTCCTGGAAGGTGCCGTTCCCGTCCCGAGCGGCGGTGCGCTCAGCCCTCCCCGCAGTTTGTAGTTTTTAAAGCCCCCTCTCAGCTCTAGGGCCGGGTCCAGGACTTTGGGGAAAGGCCCATGGATAAACCCTCTGGTCCTACCTAAATCCGGCTCCCCTCAGCTTTTGGAAGGTTGGCTTAAAGAGGGGGTCCTGCCATGGACCTAAAAGGTGGGAGGAGGATGTAGGTTGTGTCACCACCAAAAGGGACAGTGGCCATGTCCCTTGTGAAGATGACGATGGTTTTGGAGACATCCCTTGTTCTCAGGGCTAAGGAAAAGTAACATTTAGACTTTTAAAGTGCATGGCTCTCCCCACGGCCAGAGCTGAGTGTAGGTATCCCAGGCTTTCCCAAGAAAAGGTGTTGTGTCGGATGGGCTCAGGTTGGAATTGTCCACTGAGCAACAAACGTTGGGTGTTGACACACAGGTTGTCTCACACTGCAGATAAATTTGAGATTTTATTGAAAGAAACGTTTTTAAAAGGTCAGTTGCATCGCCTTTTCTCACCATCTCCGGTCTGGCTGTTTCTGTATTTTAAACTGCCCAGTTTAGGTGGGTGGGTATTTTTTTTTTTAACAACCCTTTATGTTTGTTGTCTTCTCAGAATTACATGTTTTTCATTGTTTGTGTTCTGTGTTGGTTCTTCCAATATAATTACTTATGTACATACTGAAACAAATTAAAATGCTGTGATAACATTCACATGGCCAGAAGGTATGTTGGGGGAGAGGGGATAATAACTTTTGTAAAGCGGGACTTCTGCTTAAAAAAAAGGTAAAATAATAAAAATCCCACACTAATGCCCAGGGAGTTATTTTTTTTGTCTTCATAGAATTTTGTTTTCACAATAAATAGAGCTTGCATATCTTAGGTAGGCAGTTGTCCCTATCTCATGCAAGGTGGCATATCTATGCTTTTAAACATCGGTGGTGTTATGACTCTGAGATAAAGTTGTTTTACCGTGTTTGTGTTCATTAAGCTTGTCAGGAGTCTGCAGTGTATCAGAATCACTATTAGGGTAATCTTATAAGCTGGCCTTTTATTTCAGTGTGTTGTGACATTATAGCATTGTCCTATATTTACTTGATCTCGGTGAAGAAATCTGCTGGCTTATCCATATATGTAAATAAATCTTAACTTAATCCTTTCTTAAATTAAAAAAAAAAAAAAATATATATATATACATCAAGCCCCTCTTTTACTTAAAACAGAGGGATTTAGTCAGAGGGGTGTTTGGGAGCTGCAAAGTGTGGGGCTGTGTCCAGAGATTGGGAGAAAATGCAGCCTTTTCACTCAAATCAGGTGAGGCAAGTGCAGGGTGCCTGACTGCTGGGGGTAATTAGTACTTGCTCCTTGTTGTTCATCTATTGATGAAGCTCATTTGTGTGGCAAAGCATAAATAGTTTTGTTTCACGTGAAGTGATTTTACATGTGCTTTTCTGGCACACTTCCTATTCTCAGGCAGGAGTTCACCGTTCACACAGTTCAGGCTTGTCTTCAGCACACGCTTCCTGTTTTGCATCACTCTGAAAACAGATTTGACCTATCTTTCTAGCTTCTCCCCTGTCGTATTTTGGTATCAGCTTAAACATATTTTGGTTGTGTCCATATTTGGATTTTTTTTTCTTTTTCTTTTACTGTCATCTTTTTTTTGTAACACACTATCCACGTTTCCAATGGTGCCAGTTTTTGACAGATTCTACAGAAACACGCTTTCATCAATGTGATTTCTTTTAAGTAGAATGTACCAGTTGTAATTACAAGCAAGGCCTCAGCTTTTATCCTTCAGAAGAATTTTAAAGCTGCGTTTCTGCTATGAAATAACCAAATAAACAGCAGCTTACTTTCTCGTGGCTAAATGGCTGTTGTTTGGGGGGGGCGGTTATTGAGATGGTAAAGAGATAAAGAAAAACAATCTCTTGATGACTGATAGTTGAAACAGTGAGGTTCACAAACAGCTGTAAGTAGTGATTGAAATGAGAAACATAATGGCTTTCAGAAGAATCCTATTAGTTTATGAATGAGCATGTGATAAGGTTGTCTGTAACGAGAAGGGACTCGACTCATTAATCTGGAAAGCTGCCTCTGGTCTTGCCTTGTTAGGTTAGCACCAAAGCATCTCATTTTTACTGTTATTTTTTTCCTTCTTAGATGTGAAAGTTGTTAAAATAATGGAATGATTTAATAAGGAGGTTGTGTGCTTGTTATTAATTTGTTTTTTAAATTTGGTTAGGGTTTGGTTGTGTTTTTTTTTTTTCCAAAACATATGTTTAATTAGGCTCTGGGCTCTGATAGTTATCATCTGTGAATAGATGCTCCCATCCCTCATGGTTCAAACAGGTTTGCCTACATTGCCTTCAGCACACACACAACATCAACTCTGCTTAAAAACCACAACTGTGATCAGATCTCATGTTTCAGGGACTCACTAAATTTATTGCATGGGTCAGAGAAGACTTTTTTATGATGCACAATTGCTTAGATGTATTCTGACAGGATGCAGGAGATCTCTCATCCGATACCAGGCTTGTGTTGTACTCACTTATTTAGCCTCAAACTCACCTCTGGATTTGAAATTAAGAATTTTCCAAGATAGAAGAGATCTTGAATTCTTTTTTTCTTTCTGCTGGGGTGTACTAGATCTGAAGATCTGTCTTGCTGCTCAGTTAATACAGGGTTCTTGGCATGTTGAGTCTCTTGTCACTGACAGAAAACCAGAGTTTCTTCTGAAGACAGAGGGAAGAGCAGCAGAGGGATTTCAGTTTAATGTCCTGTTGTGTGTATCTTCAGTTTCAATCTGATGTAACAGTCCTACCCACTTTTATACTTTGTGATGTTTGAAGCTACATAATAGCTAGTATGTGTTCTTCACTACTTCTACCTTCCATCCATTGTCTTTCTGGTTTGCTTTTAAGGTAGCTTCAGTTTGGATCTGTTCAGAGCATTTGATTTTTACTGAGCCTGTAACTTGACACATATGTATCTTGCTTTTTTTTTTTTTACTGTGACACTTTTGAGCGTTTTTATTATTTTAACATGGAAATTAAAAACATTGTAATAATATAGAACTGAAGACTGGGTAGTATGTGAAAAAGCATGACTGCTATTAGCACTTGTTTTGACTCCTACATCCCCAGTAAGCGCAAGGACTGTTATTTCCCCAGCATCCAGACTGTAACATTTACAAGCTCATATAGTGGCTCAGCAGTAAAGCTTAAGGTTGGAATGCAAGGCTCCACATTTTAGACTCAGTGTTTGGAATGCAAAGTCACCTCGCCTTAATTAATTAATGTATTCTTAATTAATGTATTCTTTTTCAGATCCTTGTTGGGCGTCTATAAACAGGGGGATTCTGATCTGTGACGAGTGCTGTAGCGTTCATCGAAGCCTGGGGCGTCATATCTCTCAAGTGAGACATCTCAAGCATACCCCATGGCCTCCAACACTGCTGCAGGTAAAAAGTAAATCTGTGTCTTCCTTCATTAAAAAGAGATATATTATTTAAAAAATATTTTTTAATGGAATTTAAATCACTAAGCTTTTGTTTGAGAGGAGCTGGGCCTTTTAAGCCTTCTTTTTCCAAGTTAGTATCCTTTTATTTCTCTTGTTTTGTCATACCAGACCACTAAAATCAGACTTGTCTATGCCTTTTTAATTTGATACCTTTGTTTTGAGAGATCACCTTCAACTTTTTCTTTCAGATTTTGCGATGCATCTGCTTCAACCTAAATTTTCAATACGTAGCAAGCCTCTGTTCTCAGTAGAGCTGCTGTTGGGAAGAGTAGAGAATTGTGAGGGGGTTCTTACTACATTTCACACTGTAGCCTCCTAGGTGTGTGTCTGGTTCTGATATCCCTGTAGATTATGGATGCTGCCCACACAGAATATGAATCTCTGTTGGCTTGCTCTCTGCTGGAAAATAATTATAGTTATTTGATTAGTCTGTGGAGTCACCAGCAACATTTCTTTACTGCCTGTTTGTCTACATTTTGGATTTCAGATGGTTGAAACGTTGTATAACAATGGTGCTAACTCCATATGGGAACATTCCTTGCTGGATCCTGCCTCTGTTATGAGTGGAAGGCGCAAAGCAAGCCCACAGGATAAAGTCCAGTAAGTGGAAAATTACAGAATTTTTATTTTTGTAGAGGTCTGATTATTTTATTCAGCCGTGACAGACGCAGCAAGGTATCCATGGGAACCAGTGTATATTTTGTTCCTGGAAGAGAACAGGAGTAAACTAGTTACTTGGTCACTTTTTCTTTTTAAACTCCCAATGGTTAATGTTTTTAAATTTATCACAAAAATGGAAATACATAGCTTGAATTCTCTGAACTACTGATTCTTGACCTCTAGCTTTGAATAGTGACGTTTACTAGTACTTGAATCAAAAACCTTTTATTTTGCAAGCCACGTGCTTCAGTTGACTCAGCGTTGCCAATGAGATTGAGTTTGGTTGATGAATTTGAAAAAAAAATTGAGAGACTATTTCTGTCACTGAATATGGTGCTTTGTTTTAAAATGTACATAACTGCACATAATAAGTATGGATCTTAAGCTGGCATCATTTTAAGTTCAATGTTTACTTCTAAGAAATACACAATCCATCCTACAGTCTGCAGATATTTTGAAGTTTGTAACAAAAGTATGCTTTGTATAGTTAGACAATCTGCACTGGGTTGTTTTTTTTTTTTAATGGAAATCTTCTTCCATGTCTAACTTTGCTGCCAGTAGCAAGCAAAGATCTAATGCCCTTTCAGTTGTGAATTTTCCTTTTTCTAGAGCATCTGTATGATTGTGAAGCACTAAAGCTTTTTTTCTTTCCCTTCTGTTGCTTGGATTTCTCTTTACAGTCCCAATAAAGCAGAATTCATTAGAGCTAAATATCAGATGTTAGCGTTTGTTCACCGCTTGCCGTGCCGTGAGGATGACAGCGTTACTGCCAAAGATCTCAGCAAGGTGAGTACGTTTCTCCTGGCAGCCTGCAGGAGCTACAACTTCAATGTAACAAAACAGTGAAATCTGACTGAATTAGATTAATTGCTTTTGGCTTGAGATAACCATTGCTGCTGTTCAGCACTATTACGTAAACAAATGCAGCTTGACTTCAACTTGAAGCCACTTAATTTTTGAGTAATGTATATGGATAGTGGATGGTTGAGAAGCATCAATTTAGGTTAAAAACCTTTACACAAACCAGCTGTAGCAAGAATTCTTGCATGTCTATCTCTAAAAGCATGGCTGAAAAAACAAATGCTGAATCACAGTTATTGCTGCTGTATTAAGTACTATTCTGCTTCTTTTTTCAGCAACTCCATTCCAGTGTGAGGACGGGGAATCTGGAGACGTGTTTGCGATTGCTCTCCTTAGGAGCTCAGGCCAACTTCTTTCATCCTGTACGAGCATTTGTTTTCTTCGTTTTGATGGACAATCAATTCTTACAGTTTGTAATAATTAATCCTGATTTCAGCTGATAACCATTATACTTCAATCTTCTGCTCATACCTCTTGATTAAGTAGATATTTTTCTTAATAACTTGTAGGAGAAAGGAAACACCCCGCTCCACGTTGCTGCTAAGGCAGGACAGACTTTACAAGCCGAATTATTAGCGGTTTATGGTGCTGATCCTGGCACGCAAGATTCCAATGGAAAAACTCCAGTTGACTATGCAAGGTAGAAGGCTCTGAAATATATGATGCTTTTAGATGTATTGCTCTTACCTATTAACTGATGTTCATGGATCACGTGATAAACCTGCTTAGATGTGTTTCTGCCCTGAAAATAATTTGATCGTTAAATGCCAATAAGTACTTTTTCCAGAAAGAGTGATGGCATAAAGAGTATAAAGAAGCATTTTCATCGTTTCGTAGCCTGACTTTTCCTGGATGCTTGAGACAATAGTTGTGATTACTTTCCTGTGAGCTACTAGATTTCATTGCAATCTGAGGAGAAGAGTTTCTGCAAGTTCAGCAAGCTGAGTAGGCTCCAGGAGTGCGGATTAACTTGGGAATTGCTGTAGGAAAGGGCCGGACTGCACAGATGGGTCAGGGAGCAGGGGCTGGAACCAGGCTCTTTAGGGGCAGTGAACTGTTAGGTGCATCCAGTCACAGAACTACACCTCAGGAAAGGCTCTGGGCTTCCCAAGAGCAGCCAACATTCACGTCAAGAAAGATTAAATGTGAATGTCTGTGCTGATCAGTTGGGCAGTAATGAGGCACTGCAAGACCTGTAGCACAGCACTGAAGATTTTTTTATGTTCATATGCACAATCAGACATTACTGATCAACCAGAAGCTGCACATTTGTGTAGATAAAACATCCTCGTTGCTCTGATTGCTTGGGAATTGAGGCCACATGTGGAGTCTGAAGACTGAATGAGTTCACTTGGCTGCAGAGCACAATATGCCAGAATATTTCTATTTCTCAGTGCTATTAGTCAAATGTGAAGTTGGGTGAGTTTGCTGCGTGAGCTCAGGAACTGTCTTAAAAATTGTAAATACCATATTCAAAATAGGCTATATAATCTGGGTTTTTTTCCCCAGCAAATCAGTAGGCAAAGGTTTTCAGAGTTTTCACTGACTCATTTTGGAAAGTTCATACAATTTTGTCTATAGTTTTTTGCTCACTGGAACATACTGTTGGAAGTCCTGCTGTGAGTCTGTGCTGTGTTGATACACTCAAATATGTGCAGTGTCGAGCAGTGGCTTGTACCAAGTCTATTTCTCTGACTTTTTAAATTTTCTGTATGTCTTAAAATGAAAGACTAATGTATCTTTTGTGTGTGTGTTTGTGTAAACCAGACAAGGTGGGCATCATGAACTGGCAGAGCGCCTGGTGGAAATTCAGTATGAGCTCACGGACAGGTTGGCTTTCTATCTCTGTGGCAGGAAACCAGGTAAGTAGAAAAAAAGAACTACACTCTGAGATCTTTTAGTGTTAATTATAGAACAATTAAACTACGGTATATAACGTTTGTGTCAGTGTTACGACACTTTTAATATGCATTTAAAATATTCTAACATCTTATAAATTATACAGGAAGAACAAAAGAAAGTATAAGATGTAAGGTTAGTTAATAGTGCATTTAAAATTCAGATAAAACTGCAGGATTTTAAGTATACCTAAATTCAAAATTAAGTTCCTTCCTGTTTTACTGCAAATATGAGTGCTATAAACAGAATACCCCTGAAAGTGTAGAGAAATCTCCACAGAAGGACCTAAATTCAAAATTAAGTTTCTTCCTGTTTTACCACAAATATGAGTGCTAGAAACAGAATACCCCTGAAAGTGTAGAGAAATCTCCACAGAAGATCAGGTTAGTACTGTTTAACATCAAGGAGTGAATTGCAGGGAAAATACAAATTTTTTGGCTGTTGAATGGTCTGCAGGAGACAGTGTACAAACTCTTCTAAGTAGTTTCTTCTCATTGAAATGCAAAACAGGGGAGTATTCAATTAAGCAGGTACCTTTTGAACACAAGCACACTTAAAAATTTGTAGCCATTAAGTGCTGAAAAGGCTGCTATGTTAGAACGTCTTTTTTAATGGAATTTTAATACAGCTGATAAGCCTTAATTAGAATCTTTGATAACACTGGGAAATTGCAGTAGGAACCTTCTTTTAAGACTTGCTGGCTTCCTGTAATTGCAAGCTGAGTAATTACATGCAAGATAAATTATTCTGTTTGCCTGTTGCATATCATCTTGGGTTTCTCGTTACTGTGTCTTTTAGCAAAACTGATTATCAGCTGTATTATATCCTGACAACATTAAAAACTATAGTGCAGTAAAACCTATTAAAGTGCAATTTTGTTTTTAATTCTAGAGCATAAAAATGGACAGCACTTTGTTATACCTCAAATGGCAGACAGGTAAGTTGCTGATTCTATGGCATGTCTGAAAACATCAAAATAAAAGACCCTAACAATAATAATAATAGTTATTATTATTATTGTTGTTATTATTAAGTTTCTTTTCCTTCCTAAAACAACTTTTAAGCTTGTTATCATTTTAACTTTTCAGTGTGTAAAGTTTCTTTTCCTTCCTAAAACAAGCTTGTTATCATTTTAACTTTTCAGTGTGTGCCTCTATCGATTGTGTAAGCTTTTTTTTTCCTAGAAAAACATTTAAACAAAATCAGAAAATTACAGAAGTTTAATGTATTTGTTAAAATGCAGGGGGAAGGTGAAATGATATTAAGGGAACACACATGGGATTCCTTGGAAACAGATTTTGTAAATAATGTGAGGACCAATTGACTTAGTTTCCTGCTGCAGCATTTTGAAACTATTATTTACAAGAAAGTTGCATTTTTCTTTGAAAGTATTTATACTTTTGATCTGAGTGCTTTTAACTTTTGGTGACGATCAATGAAACTGTATTTGTATAAAACATCAAGTATTAATCTTAAGTCCTTATTTTTCTTTTATTGCTATGCAATTGGAAATAAGACGGCTGTGAGTAAACTGCTGTTCAACTTATTGTTTGTAGAATTTCTATGAAAAAGTGTAGGAAAATAAAAATTATAGAGAGAAACTATCTAATGGTTGGTAAAATACTTAGTGTTAACATCTGTAGTTTTTTTAGCTATGCTATTGGATAAAATACTGTGTGTTTCTATTGCAAAGTGTTCTGCAGAGCAGGGTGAGTATCATTTGCCTCGTTACACAGAGAAGGAAGTTGACATACAGAGAAAAGAACTTGTTCAAAGATGCTGCTGAGATTGCAGAGCCTGCAGTACAACCTGAGAAGAGATTATTTACTAATCAGTACAAAATAATGTTAAACTTGGCCCTATTGCTGTAGCCATTTGACAGCCTGGTGGTCACCTGCCTCCAGCAGAGTCCAGTGGAACAAATCTGATGTGTTTTATATGGACTCTATTTTTGGTCAGAATTATTATATCATTCAGATTCCTTACAGAAAGCATTTTGTTGCACTGAAACTTGACTGCTTCTTGAGCTATGCAAATGCAGGTATTTATATTCCAAAGGATTTTTAAGATTCTATTGTTTTAAAATTAAGATTGTTCTTTAGAAAAGCTTAAAAATATATTAATTTATATATTAGCAATATTAGTAAGATCAATGTGTTAAAAGCTATATTAAAATAACTAAAAGATTAAGGACTTTCAATAAATGTGTCATTTTAATCATTGAACTATTGAAACTTAGAATTTGTGTTTAAACAAGCCATTAAATGCTGTAGATGTAATGATCACTTTCTGTTTTCATAGCAGTCTAGATTTATCAGAACTTGCAAAAGCAGCTAAGAAGAAGCTTCAGTCTGTAAGTAAAACCTGCAGTGTGCTGTGTGACACATCTTTGGATGTGGCAAACTCTGCACTTCATCTTTCCTGCTGGTTTCAGCTGCTATTAATTCCTGCATAAATAAATGTTAACTCTGTAACAAGTTAAAGTCTGGAGGAAAATATCAAAATAGGCAGAAATGGAGAAGCAGAGATGATGACAAATCCATGACAGAGAACAAATATGTGTTGGTTTTGTTTGGGGTAGTATCTCCAGCTCTGTTTCCCCAGTTCAGAACCTTAAACTTTGTTATTTGTCTTGTTCTCATGTATTTTATATGAATCTGTATGTTAAATTTTAGTATTTGCCTTTAACTCCCTGGAAAGCCAAAATTCATTACTGTCTACTACTTAGTTGATAATAATGCCGGCTTATTAGTTTTACTAAAGGGTTGATGACCAAATCATTGTACAAATTAGAGTGGGGATATGTTTTCTCTCTACTTAAAGCTTTCAGCTGAAGCAAATGGTATCAGAGGATGAAAATTTTGCAGTTGGGCAGAGAACAATCCTGGTGATATTCTTCTACTCAACAATGTCCATTTTTCTCTTAAGATAATACTGGGGATCCTAGAAATTCCAGCAAAGCAAGCCAGCCTGTGTAGAACTGGCATTCAAATAATAATCAATACAAACCAAACTGAGGTCTTGTTAGTTTTCATTTCTTTTGAAGCTGTAATTATTCTTTTCTACCCTTAGCTGAGCAACCACTTATTTGAAGAACTGGCCATGGATGTGTATGATGAAGTTGACCGAAGGGAAACAGATGCAGGTGAGTGAGGCTTTCTGGAATGTGTATAAAATCAATTTGAGTTGTTACATTACATACAAGATGCTAGTGCAAGCATATGCTCTGTTTAAAGTGCTTTTGTGTTCAGTAATTACTGAGAATTACTGAGTTTCTTTGTCTTGCATTGTCTGAAGGTGGCTCAGTAATTACTGAGAATGGCAGTTTCTTTGTCTTGCATTGTCTGAAGGTGGCGTTTATTGTAAAAATTCTTGTGTTTTTTGAAGTAGAGAACCCTCTGGGGAAAAAAGCTTTCCTTTGAATTGGTTGTGTTTGTGTTTGAAATTGTGGTCTTTTATTCTTTGACAAGAAACAATGTTAAATAGTACAGGAAGATTATTCCCTCTTTTTTTTTTTTTTTTGTTTTCCTCTTCCCTGAGCAGTTTGGCTGGCTACTCAGAATCACAGTACGCTTGTGACAGAGACCACAGTCGTCCCTTTTCTTCCCGTAAATCCTGAATATTCCTCAACCAGGAATCAGGTATGGAGCTGCCTTAATACTGTAAAACTATTTTTATTCAATATTCGAAGTAATATTACTTTACTTCATTACTGTAGAAGAGTTGCATCTACTTGTAAAGCGGTTAAAATAGTTTCACAATTCCCCTGCCCTGGAGTGTGCAGCTGGATAATTTAAATCACACTTTTTTTGCAGTAAATGTAATTGAGCAATCAACTCACTGTAGGTGCTATAGCCTTAGTCTTACCTGGGAACTCTGCTGTTCATCTAATACGTGATGTACTTCTTTTTCTGCATTATTCTCTAATTCAGGGAAGACAAAAACTGGCTCGATTCAATGCCCATGAATTTGCTACACTAGTTATAGATATTTTAAGTGACGCCAAACGAAGACAACAGGGGAACCCCCTCGCTGGCTCAAAAGGTGAGTGTGATTCTGGTTGTGGGCTCTCTTCAGTAGTTTAATCAACACCATAGCCTCATATAGGAGCACTAGATTAATGAAGAAAGGGATTTATGCTCTTTTTATAAATGATAAGAACTAAATCATGTGGATAGCAGGTTGTTGACAGCATGCATTAGACCACCAAAATAATACCCAAGTTTGGCATTTTGGACAGTAATAATCTAAACCCATTAGGTGGACCTAAATTAACTTTTTTGAACTGGGCTACTCAAATGATACTTTATGATGGCATGTCTTGTATTGTCTCTCTGAAGATCTTTTCTGATTATATTTGTTTTTGAAAATACTTTAAAGTATGCGCTTCCATTTTTTTCTCCAAATTTACTAGTACATTTTTAAATGGTGTGCATTGATCTACAGATAATGTGGAACTGATACTCAAATCAATCAGCAATCAACATAGTAGTGAAAGTCAGGATAATGACCAGCCTGATTATGACAGTGTTGCTTCAGATGAAGATACAGATCTCGAAACGAATGCAGCTAAATCAAACAGGCAGAAGGTAGGTTTGAGGTATTTATACACACACCAAATTTTATTCAGAAAGGTAATCTGCAGTGACTTTTTCCCCTTGTGAGGGGATTTAACATGCAGAAATGATCAGAAAATTACTATTTCAGTTCATTTTCAAATTCATTTCAGAATCATGCCTCAGTCTATGAATTCCAACAAAATAAAAAATTGTGATTTAAGGAATTTTTATTGTAAATAAAATGTTGCTCTAGAAAAGTACTGTGCACCACTGCATGTCTGTAGTTCAGATATAGATCTAATGGCACAGATGAAATAACTGGATCCAAAAGTTGTGACTTTAAGGAATTATTGTAAATAAAATGTTCCTCTAGAAAAGTAACGTGCACCACCGCATGTATTTAGTTCAGATATGGATCTAATGGCACAGATGAAATAACTGGATCTACCAAAAACACTCTTAATCAGTGATTCTGTGGTATTTCACAAACATATACAGCTTCCTACTTAAGAAATATTTACTGCAGACCAATCGTGACTGAGTGTTTTAAACCATTCCTGAAAATAATGCAGAATGGTAAAAAAGCAGCTGTAAACCTAGTAGTTCTAGTTTAATCTGCTGTGGTAACATGCTCACTGGATATTTGGTAATCTGTCTTTTAAGACTTTCCAGTTCTTTATTGCATATTTTAAAACAAATCCCTATGGAGTATTGTGTCACAAAGGCTGAGATAAATGTGCATAGAGAAGCTGAGTTGATTGACATCAAATTTCTTTTATACTGGACTAAAATTAATTTACTGAATGGATCTTATTAATTTGAACTTAATTTGAACCATGATTCCTTTAAAGTGAGTAAAATCTCATTGTCTTATCTTCTTTTGGTAATCTGTTTCTCAGTGGTGTAAGTATTGATCTCTTACTATTTATAGAGCCTGGATTCAGACCTGTCAGATGGACCAGTGACAGCCCAAGAGTATATGCAAGTTAAAAATGCTTTGGTGGCTTCTGAGGTGAAGATTCAGCAGTTAATGAAAGTGAACATCAACCTGAGTGATGAGCTGAGAGTCATGCAGAAAAAGGTAACAGGCCCAATTGTGCAGCCCCTTCATCTCTTGATGTATTTTAAGCTGACCAGAATAAAACTCCTGAAACTGAAGATGCAGTAGCTCAATATAGGATAGTGAGAAAATTGGTTTTAAAATGGAGCTGCTTTGGAATCAGGTGGGAGGCTATAAATGTACCCGTGCAGCATATGCTTTGAATGTTGTTTTTTTTGTAGGGGTGATGATCATCTGCTTAGTTTGCTTGGATCTAAGTTTCCCAAGTGACAAGACAGTTGTATAACTATTGTGTGGTTTTGCTTTCTTGCTTCAAGATAAGCAGTTTTCAACAATGAGGAAGTAAGTGATAGCACACGTTTTATCTGTGTGCACACATCTATATAATGTACTTCCAACTTCTCAAATATGTCGGTTTTTTTCAACCTATCTGGATTGAAGGGAAATAAAAATCCTAATCCTGTTTGGCAGTAGAAAATAATCAGAAAAGTGGCAATACAGTATCACGTTTTTGTATACCAGGAGGGCAAGATTTATTTGTGTTTGAAGCTGTGGGAGAAAGCACTTAAAAGGTTATAGTGATAAATACAATTACTGCTTTAAACCTTCAGTGTGGGTTTTTTCTAGAGGAGGATGAGGTAGAGGTATCTCATTTACAATGTGAGTTACTATGTATAGATAGTCTTATACAGGCAGAAAACTGAACGCTTTTTGCTAAAGTCCTGAATTTAAAGCTCTAAAAACCCAGTTTGGAAACCAGACATTTTAATCCTTACGTAAACAAATCAACGATCTGTTGAATGCTTTGCTGGTGTTCTGGTAAATAGAGAATTTTTGGGGATAAATGAGGGTTTCTATCGGTATTGAGTTCACTGTCCTGCCTGTCATGCTAGCCTGGAAAGGGCCGGCTGCTTCCTCAAACAAATACCTTTATCTAGTGTTAGAAATCCTGCTTTCCAAATAATTACAATACTGCAAGACTTGGAGTATGTGCTGCAGAAAGCTCTCTCCCTGTAGAGACACTTGCTGAAGCTCCTGCAGAGGTGAACCTGTGCTGAGAGCTTGTTTCCCTGTTTTTTTGGGGGCAAAGAGGCTGATGCCTTGGAGAGTGGTGGGAACTGGTGAGCTCTTCACATCTGAGGCCAAGCTTATTCTGCAGATTCAAATATCTTTGTCTGTTGATTGCCATTCTTCTGTTACAATTGTGTTCAGCTTTTCAGACCTCTTGGAATGGTGAATACTGAGAGGAACCTAAGAGATCTCAAGGTGTTTCCTTGGTCTTTTAACAGCTTCTACTGGTTAGCATTTCTCTGCATCAGTTGAATTACCTTATATTGAGTTTCTTTAAACAGATACAGTCTATTTAGGGCTAAAAATAATCTTTAGGGCCTATGAATGAATGAGACTTCAGTATATTTATGTGGCGTAGCAGAAGAGAGATCATTGCTGTGCTGCAGTTGAACCTGTTTTGAGAGATGGCATAGCCAGGGCTCACTTGAAGATGAGTTGCAGTAATTTTACATCCTGGTGGTGTATGTAGCTCTGGGGCTTCTTTAATTTAGTGTTTGGTGGCTCTGGGTTGGTGAAGAATCGTTATAACCGTGTGTCATTGCAGAAACAGGGTGGGAGGAAGGGGTAATGCCTGTCTTCACTCCAAGCTACTGGGGACTTCAGTGCAAAATGGGAATTCTCTACTGGGTTATTTGTGGCAAGACACCACTAAATTTGGACTACTTCAGCAGTTCTAATGCAATAGATGCCATTCAAGAGTCTCTCTTTTTTTAATCTTTTTTTTTTCGGTATTTTCTAAGTAAAGGCTTAGAAGGTCATAAACTGAAAAACCCTGTTCGCTTTATCACCTAATTAGCCAACTGTGTATCTAATCTTTTGCATGGCAATTACTAGGCAAAAGATGCTAATTAAAGGAGAGGTAAGGCTAGGCTTGATGAATGACACTTTAGAGTAGATTCTTCCTAAACAAAAATGAAAATACATCTTTTACTTTAATGGCCATTCTAATGGAAAAAGGTATTGTTTTTTAATGCCTATGGATTTTTTTAGGTGCTTATAGGCGGTTAAAAGTTTGGTCTGACATTAGCTGTTGGCTAAAACTGCACCAAAAGCACTTTTATAAAACCTGGAAGAAGTTTGGAAGGAGGAGACTATAAAGTTGACCTATTTAATTACCCTTAATGTCAAACTTTAAATGGGTAGCTCGGCTCCTGGCTGGTCCTCAGATCTTAAGATTTGATGGATCTTACTACAGAGCACACAGAAAGCGGGGAGAAAAAAGCACAAATTATCTTGATAGAAATCTGTGCATTCGATTTAGAGTTCTGGGAAGTGCTCTAGGCAAAATAGGATTTTCTTGATAGAGGTAGTGTTCTTGAAGGTTCATATGATGCAAAGTAAATACAAGTAGTAAATATGCAATTTCCTGTTTAAAAGGCCATCAGCTGTTTGAAATATACTCAGTTATTGTTAGAGAATTGCTGATACTGACCTTTTTTTTACATCTTTTCTTTATGATGTGTTAATATAGCAAACTTACTCCAAGTAACTCCACCAAAAAAAAATGAGAATTGTTGCATTTTTACTATCCATCAAATACATAACAATAAAAAGCTTTGAAATTATTTCTTGTTGGCTTCTTAGAAAGCAGTAACTGATACTTGTTTTTCATAAGCTAAACTCTCTTCTTGCTTTGCAGAGCAAGCTCTAGTTTTCTTTGCGCTGCCTCTGGTGTCTGTGCTGTAGTTGTGGCATTTTCAGATTTCATAGGCCTTATGTTAAAATCCTCTTTTAAGCTCTTGTATTGACTGCTGAAATAGATCATTTTGCTTGAAAAACTTCAGTTGGCAGCCCTTCTCCTCACAACCTCGTTATCTTAATACAATTGATGTGCCAGTACAGCCAGGCTGGAAGAAATGGGTTGTGTGTTTGACTAAAACAGCCAATTTTAAGATCTAATTTAGCTTGCATCCCAGCAAAAAGTGCTGAAAATCGGCACATAAATACTTCCAGATCTGGAACGTAGATGTTTCTATGCTTATGTTAAGCAAGTCAAAGAGATTTTGAAAAAGAAGTCAAACCCCAGCTACTAGTAACTGGATTTACTAGTAAAGCCAACAAGCGTGTATTGTGTAGTCAGTTTGCTTTTGACGCTTGCTATTAGAACAAACAAAGTCCCACTGCTCAACGTTTCTTTCAGCTTCAAACGCTACAGAGTGAAAATACCAACCTCAGAAGACAGGCCACAACCAATATATATCAGGTCCAAACTGGTTCTGAGTACACAGACCCCACCACCAATTCTTCTTTAAAGCGGCGACCGTCTGCACGGGGTAGCAGGCCCATGTCCATGTATGAGACCGGCTCAGGTCAGAAACCCTACCTCCCCCTGGGAGAGGTCCCATACCCAGAAGAAAGCATTACACGACTCCAGCCTTTCCCTCCACATGTAAGTAAAACCACTGATGCTTCTGCATTTCTTCTTACCTTCAGCTTTTCTCTTCTCTTCCAACTATGCTCGTTTTACCAAAGCTGCTCAACTGTCTGCTTCAGAGTGAATTTGAACTGGAAGAATTGTTAATGTTTGCTGTATTAACATGTCTGCAGGAGCTTGAAAAGTACTCGAAAAGTAAAAGCTATAACAATTCTGGAATATGTAAACTGGAGCTTTTGGCTTCTGCTCAGCTGTTTCTTTTCACCACAATATATATGCCAAATACCAATGGGTGGCTGTTTGAAAACCAGGAGGGGGGAAAAAAGTAGTATTCCAAGAAGGTAGGTAAAGTTCATGGATTTCTTTCTTGAGGTATATAGGCATGTGCCAATTTATGGAACTGAAGAACCACCTTTCAGAAATGAAATGGAAGCTAACTTTTTCATTAAGCCACCTATTTCTTATTCTGATTTTGGAACTGCAGGCTGAAGATGGTTGAGATCTGTTAGTTGAACAAATTCTTCTGGTTTAGTATTTCCCCATATGATACACTAATAGTGGAGAGGGAATCCTGCATTAGGCACAAGGATTCTCCACTGACACGTTCACACTTTAGACAAGTGACCCAACACACACTAGTGCTTATTAAAGTTAATTTTTTTATTGCATCTCTTTAGATTGCCCTGTGGGCAGGAATATGGGATGATATTTTATTTAGGCACGTGTTTAACATTTGTGGATTTGTTTAAATATGTTTCCCTGTTAGCAGCAGTATCTTGTATTTCCTTCCAGATAAACAGTTAAGCCCTTTAAAAGATATTTGGAAGTTAATGGGGTTTTTGTCTGGTGTGAGGAAGGGCAAATGTTCCATGCACATTCCAAAGAAGACAGTTGAGTTCACCAGGGAGTCAGTACAGAAATGCATATGCTGGGCTTTTCTCTGCCTTCAGTTAAATTAACAAGAACTTTAAGCTGTGAAATCTGGATCATTTTAAATGATATTGGCATGTTGATATAAAGGCAGTTCTGGCAGCAAGAAATGTCAGAATTCTTCTGCATGTGGCAATGTTTTCAAAACATGACAATGCTTTCTGTAAGTATTTTGGATTGAAATTTGAATAGAAGTAGCGGTTCTGAAGCACTGATTTGTTTTGTGGGGTTAGTTAATTTCCTATTTTGGTGAATGTGTTTTATTCTCTGTGGAATTTAGGACCTCTGGAATATCAATATTAGAATTAACAAGAAGTCAATTGTATTGAAAGAATTAAGTTTCACTCAGGCTTAGCTGAATTCTCCGAATCATTCTTGCTTTATGTCACCTCCATGGTTTTAAGAATGTTCCTTTATTTTCAGTTAAGAATTTATTTGTGTTTTGTTTTTGGTTTTTCCCGAGTGTTTTTCTTTTTCCCATTTTTAGATCGGGAGGAGTGCGTTTGTGACCTCCTCTTCATCTCTACCTTCCTTCCCCTCCACGCTTTCCTGGTCAAGGGATGAAAGCACACGAAGGGTTAAGTACCTTCCTGATTGGTCTTTTACCTGGAGGAGGTGGCCCATCTCCCTAGAAGCCATCCTGCCTCTTGTCTTCTCCCCTTTGGTGCTGGCTGGCCTTCATGCTTGCATGAATGGTGTTTCATCACTTTCCGTTCCTTCCGCCACGCGCTGTGGATCCTTGCCTCTCTCTAACTTCACAACGGCTGAAATCTTGAGCGTTTAACACCGTGCACAGTTACTCCAGATCACTTGCTCAACCCCGTAACACTGAAAACAGCCAGAAGACAAGTTGGTTGCTGTTTGGGGAGTAATTTGGCAGGCGGTCGCTGATATTTCATAAGCTGATACGTAATTCTTCCTACTGACTAAAATGCACTGCATGAGGCGTATGGAGCTCTCTGGGTCCTAGCTTTAAAGCCTGCTTTCTCTGAGGGCTGTCAGTTTGCACCAATCCAAAGTGGTACTGGTTAACTGTTTATCTTACAGACGTTCATTAGTTTGTTTGAAGTGAGTTATTTATGCACCCAAACACATACCCATTGGTATTGCTCCCTGATACACTGAGTGTCAGCCGGCCTGCTTTCTGCTGACCTTCATAGAGGAAAGGCTGAATGGGGATGGGAATTGTTTTTAGCAAGACTCCTTTAAGGGCAAGATTAAAGGCACAGAGAGCTATGAATGAAGCTTACAACAGTGTTCCGTCAGATTCTACAAAACTCTGTTCTTAAGTTTTTTGTTGACAATGGTACTGACAAGAAAAAAATTGCAGCATTTCCAAGAAACATTTAATACGTTCTATAAGCTTATGTTATTCCAAAGACACTGGCTTTGCTGTGGCCTTATACGTGAGCTATTAGCTATTTGAAGAAGCCTCGTCCAGCTTCTTAATTATATTTTTTTAAACACTGTTCTCCTTTTGTAGTGGAACACTTAAATCCAGTTTTACTCAAATTCATTTGCTAGAAGGGAACATAAAATGCCACCTTGCAAGAGGACACATTTAGTAAGGCAAGCTGTTTGACACACCAGTCTGTCCCTGACAGCTTCTTTTTAGACTAGGTTTTATTTGGGATCCTTGAACTAATCCTTGAATTAATTGCAAGTTACATCTTCAAAAGAAGGGAAAAGCACTGGGCATTTGCAGCTGTAGAATAACACTCATTTTTGGCTGTGAAGGGGCTGTGACTGAAGTCATGGTCCCTGAGCAGGCCCATCTTAACGTGTCACAGACTAATGAATGCTGAAGATGAACAACCCACAGCTTTTACACCGCTCTTGGACCAGCCTGAGCTACCAGCTTGCACTGCTTGCAGAAAGAACCCTCCCTCAGCAGAATGAGTTGATTACATTTCAAGGTCTTGCTCTGACTAAACCTCTTTAACTTTGAAGCAAATATCGATACGAGGGCCCTTGGGCTGGTTTTAGATGTTTACGTCACATTTCTTAGAAAATAATGAGTAGCTCATATCCTTTATGTTGTATCATGTGTTCAAGATTTAGGCTTTGCTTATTTCTGTGTTAAAACAGGACTTTCTGAAAGAGAAGAGAGATAAGTATTTGTATTTCTTTGTAAGGCTTAACTGGTTGTGGAAAGATCTTTCAAGAAAAGCTCTCTCTTCTTGCTCTGCCTTTTCTGTGTGGTTAACGTAATTAAATCAGTACCATCTCATTCTGTTTCTTGGGGAAGCATTGCAGAGTCTCTAATCAAATTTTACTATACAGTACTAAATTATTCAAAAAAACAAGTTTATGGGTTTAGATGTTGAATGGTCATACTTTGGCCTTTCTGCCAGGATAAAGAACCTTCTTTTTAAATTCTTGTGTCCCCATTTTATTTTTACTGTATAGAGTTTGGACACGTCAGTTGAGGAAAATACTAGATTTGTCAAGTAGGGCTGGTTGATAAAACTTACAAGGGAATGTCCTGCTTGGTCAAATGCAAATCTAGGTTTGGCTGGAGCTGGTATCAGTACTGTGTAGTACTAAAAACTTGCAGAGGTTTTGTTTGGTTTTGTTTTACACTGTTTCCATAATACCCTGTTCTTGTAATTCATTGCTGTCATCTGCATTCCTGACCATAGTGCAGAGCTTTGCCACTAATCTTATTGTTCTCCTCTATACGTCGGGGAGAGGTGAAACTTGCAGAGGTTTTGTTTGTTTTTATTTTACACTGTTTCCATAATATCCTGTTAATATCCTTGTATCCTTGTAATTCATTGCTGTCATCTGTATTCCTGACCACAGTGCAGAGCTTTGCCACTAATTGTATTGTTCTCCTCTATACGTCGGGGAGAGGTCAGACTCTACATGTAATAGTTTCATATCTTCAAAATATGTCACTTTTACAATTGATCTTTACAAGCTATCCTGAGAGGTGAGCATTCAAAAAATGCTTGTTTATTCCTTCTGTGCAGAGTGACTTCAAAATGGGTGGGAATTGTTCATACTCAAGGTGCTTCAGAGTTAAGAGTTGTTGGTTTTAACATCAGATGAGTGCTTAACAATCGTACTGGATCTTAATGAAACTGATTCCTAGTCACGTTTTTGGTCTGTCCTTGAGGTAGAAGTATTATTTACTTATGTATGGATCAGGAATGTAAATTGAAGGTGTCCCTTAGAGTCAAACACTTGAGACTCCCTCATTGTGACTTCAGACTTCCCATAGAGCTCCAAGCCTGGTTCTTCAACGGAGATTGCGAAGGACCCTGTTACGTGAGCAGTGTCTGTGACTGAGGCAGGAGCTGATGCCAGAGCTGATCTGGATGTACAGTGACACTGATGTATCGCTGTAGGAGGCACTTCTGATGAGCTTTGCAATTTTTAAGCCTAGAGTAGGTGGATGCGTGGAGATCCTGGGCTCTGGCTTAGAATGGGAGTGTGCTTTGGGGGCTTCAGACTGCAAAACCTTATGAACTGCAGAGATTGGCCTGACAGTAGGTATTCATAGCAAAAACCTCCAATATGTTGCACTGCCTGGGCAGAAACTATCCAAGAAGGCTAAACCAGGTTAGAGAAGGGAGCCTAGCACTCTGTACTGACAGAGGGGGCTGTATGTATGGTAGGATCTGCATGGAGGGCACTCGAGCTGTCATGGTAGAAGTATGCTTATTTATGTCAGCAGCCCTCTGAGAGGGTAAAAAAAAAAGTTGAAAATGAGTTTAGGGAAAAAAAACCTGAGCATCATCTTTGCCCATGGACTGGGAGGTGCAGAACTGGTCTGTATGGAAGTAGGAGGTGGTGAGTGTTCTGCCATCGCACCTGGGAGGAAGCACATGTGCTCAGAGACAGGGAACGGGCAGCACTCTGGTTCCCAGTGTGGACACGGTCACTGTGTGTCTCCCCAGGGAATGCCACGTGAAAGGGAGAGTGGGAAAATACTGAGCCTCTGACTCTGTTTATGGCCTCCACTCTCTGGAGCAGCACTCTGCAGCTGGGCCTTTCCGTACTCGATCCAGCCTCTGCTCTGCAGTGGGTCTCCACACTTGGTCTGGGCTCCCTCACTTGGTTCAGCCTTCAACTCTTGTCTTCGGCCTTCCCTCTGCCATGGTCCTCACTTTCTTTGTGTGCCTCCCAGTCTGGGTTTGGCTTCCTACTCTGTGGTCCTACCTCCATTCCGAGGTCAGAGGCACAGGTTCATTCAGTTCACCCTCCTACTCCAAGTTTGGACTCCCACTCAGCTGTGGGCATTCGCTCTTGGTTTGGCCTCTGAGCTCATTTTGGTATCCAACTTCATTCATCCTTTACTCTGGGTTCAGAATCCTGGTTGGATCAGCCTCCTACTTTGCAGTGGGCCTTCCATGCATGATCTCGCCTCCACTTTGTGTGTCCCTACAACCCGTGGTCCAGCCTTCACTTCTTTCTGTGCCTCCAGTTCTTGCTCTGGCCTTCATTTCCTTGTTGTAGATAAGGTTACGAAACCAGGTTAGGTTTCATGTGTCTCCTGCCCTTATTTTGGCCTCCACTTTGGAATTGGCCTACCCACCCTCCTTTTGACACCTATTCTTCAGTGGCCCTCTGCTCTTGATGGTTAGGCCTCCTGCCCTCGTTTCATCCTATGCTCTGGTCTGGGCCACAACTCTCATTTATTTGGCCTCCCAACCTTGTTTTGGTCACCAGTCTGCAATGTGCCCTCGCCCTCGATTTCAGCTTCCACTCCATTTTGGCCTCCATTCTGCAGTGGGCCTCCCACCCCTGTTTCAGCTTCCAATCTGCAGTGGGCTCCCAGTCTTGTCAGTTTGGCTTCCTACATGCTCTTTGGTCTTCCACCTGCAGTTTGGCCTCTACTCCACAACAGATCTCCCACCATCATTTCAGTCTCTGGTCTTTATTTTGGCTTTCCCATTGCAACAGTCCTCAACTTTGTTTAGGTCTCCCACTCTGCAGTGGGTTTCCTCTGCCTGGGTCAGCCTCTGATCTGTGGTCAGACCTCCATCTTGATTTGGCCTCTACTGTCATGAGCCTCCCACACCTGGTCCAGCTTCCTGCTCTGCCTTCCATGCTTGGTTTGACCTCCCACCTTGTGCTGGGCCTCAATTCGTGTTCCAGCCTCCCTTGCTTGGTTTGGTTTCTGCTGTGTCTGGCCTCAAGTCTGCCATGGGCCCCGTTCTCTGGGTCTGGTCTCTTTCTCCCTGGTGGTCCTGCCCTCTCCATTTGGCCTCTGCTCCCCTGCGTGGCAGTTTCAGTGGTGGGGGAAGGACACAGTGCTGTGGCCACCTGTCCCTCCTCCCAGCCCTGCTGGGTGCTGGGGCAGAGCCCTTGCTGTGGGTCTGGTGGGGCTGTGCCATGCCAGGGTCTCGGTGGCAGCAGGGGACACACCGGGCTCCAGGGTAGAGGCTGGTGCAGGGGCTGTCGTGCTAAAGAGCAAGCCCACATAGGCAGGACATGGCGCTGGCACAGCTTGGGGCCCTTCTTTCCTGCACAGCACTGAAATAAACGTGTGTTCGTTGCAGGCCTCGAAGCTGGAGAAGCAGAGCAGCGTGTCCGAGAGCGACTACGATAACCCCACCACCCCGCTGGAGCTGGAGGAGACGGGGTAGGTGCCACGATGCAGAGCTGGTGCCATGGTGACACAGAGCTGACACTGCAGTGATGCAAAGCTGATGGCACAGCTCCGCGCCGTCAGAGGACAAGGAGTTGTGTGAGCAGCCAGTTCTGTCCCACCAGGCCGACCTCTGCTTTGTTCCTCTGCAGGGCAGGCAGGAAGGGTCGGCAGAGGAGCGTCATTTGGCAGGGGGAGGGATCCATCCCTGAAGACACGGACACGGCTCCCAGCTCCAGTTTGCCCAGCACAGAAGACGTGATTCGGAAAACCGAGCAGATCACAAAGAATATCCAGGAGCTGCTGCGAGCGGCGCAAGAGAACAAGCATGACAGGTGAGGCTTGAGTGCTGGAAAAGGTCCAGAGTTTGTGAGAAAACAAAGAAAATTCTTCAGGTGTTTGCAGAATTACAACCACCACCCCCTGTGTTTAGTGCTGGAGGTGTTGATTTCACTCCTCCAAAACGTGTAGGTCCGTGGTGTTTCCTGGTGTCCTGCAGCTAGTGCCAGGGGGTGAGCGGGGATGAGTGACTGGTGCAGGTGGTGGCAACACATGCTCCTGTCCCAAAAGCCAGCAAGTGGGTTCCAGCTGCGATGCTGCCTGCCCAGAGTTAGCACAGGGATGGGAGCACTGGGAACAAAGTGCTTGGGAAGTCCTGCTGCAGTGAGTGGTGTTTTAGATACAAATCAAATGAATTTTGCAGAGAGAACTTGGTCTTAGTTTCTCTTGGATCTTCAAACATCCATGTCCTTAGGTAAGGACACCCCACAGAAGTGTGATAGCAACACTAAGTCTGGTTTCAGGAAAAGATTGCGAAGGCAGAGAGAATTTGGCTTCCATAATGAGATATTAGTACTGATAATGTAACAGCAAAAGCAGTTTTGAGCTCTTGGGTTTAGACACAGACGTAGCTGGGTAGTGGGGAGGCTGTTCATCAGCACGTCAGGTCGCAGTTTCGGCTCCCTCGGGGAACTTCTGGCCCAACCAAACAATTAATTTTCAGAAGAGCTGTGAGTGAGTGAAAAATGATAGTGCCTCTGCCTGCTCCATCAGGTGGTGCTCCTGCACAGCTCTTTTAGAAGGCTGTAAATAGGAGTTATGTCTTCCCGGGTGCGAACACGTTTTAGGTCTGGAACAGCTTTGGTTTCCAGAAAATGGGAACTTGCAGGTCTTATATTCTCCCTCCTGCCCCACGTCGTGTGCCCGGCCGTGCCTGGGAGAAGCTGGCGGTTTGTGCTAAGCCCTCGCTTCCTGCCTCGCTGAGAGAAGCACAACACAACAATGGGGCCACTTCTGTTCTATGTTTTTTTTCCTTCCCGTACTTTTCTATTTTTAGAAGGGCCAGCGTAGCCTCTCCTCCTCACGCTGAACGGCGAGTTCTAACCTGTTTGTGCTGAGCTCATTGCCCTGGTTCTGTAACCTTTTCCACTGCAATCCCTTCTTGCTTCTTTCTCACAGTTCATAACGAGAAGCAACAAGTAAGAGAAGCTTTAAATGAGTTTAGGGTTTATGTATATCACACTTTACAGTGTTTGAACTATATTTTTAAAAAAATAATGCAGCGTAGCTTGCTTTCGCTGTTAAATTGAATAGATTTTTAAACAACCTGTTAAGTTCTTTTTTTTTCTCTCTTCTGTACCATGCCTGGAGTACTTAAATGAGTATAATCTTGCAAAACACTGAACTGTGAAGCTGCTGTTCTTTGTTTTCCTCTTCCCTGGCTTTGTCCCAGTGGGCTGAGAGCTGCAGGCCCTGGGGCACAGCGGAGACAGAGGGGGCTTTTCCACCATTCCCTTCTTGGAGAAGGGAAACGCTTCCTTAACAAAATGAGATATTTAGGGGTGTAATAACACATCTTCCAAGTCAGTGCTGGGAACGTTGCAGATAAAAATCACATGCTGCATAGATAATGGGAGAGTAATAAAATGATGCAAGAATATCATCTATTAATGAAACACCTTCTTTCTTTTCCTGTGCTCCACTGGCCGAGTAGCCCGTTGGAGCGTGCGGGCACGCTCAAGCTCAGACACAGCTTCAGCACGCGGGTCCCCTGGGCCAAGAGGGCTCCCCTGCAGCCTCTGACCATCCCACAGCCTGGTCCTGCCTCCTGGTACTCTGGCCTCTGTCCCTGCCTCCCAGGCACAGTGTCCTTTCTCTTTCTCTCTGCTGCCTCTTTCCCTCACACACTGTCTGCACAGGGGTCGTTAAAGGCGATGCATGAAATGCTTCAGGTGATAAAGAACCTGCAGGTACCTCGTCCAGAGAGTTAGGAACCTGTGATATCACCCGCTCAGTGGAAGCTCTCGGTATTGGTTTAATGGGGAACAGAATCACAGCCTGGAGCTGTCTCTAGTTCAAGAGATTCTCCTGTCTCTCTTCTGTTCACTGGCCCATCCAGATGAATTATCCCCACCGACAGCACAACATGTGGTTGCCGCTTCTGCGCGGTGTTGCCAAAGTAACAGAAGTTCCATGGTTCCCAACACACACCATTCACACCTGACAGCTTGGGCCATGGACTGTTTATACAGCTGGCGTGGCAAATGAGATCATTTTGTATCCTGAATCAAAGAAAAAAAAAAAAAAAAAGGTGTGTTTATATAGCATCTTCCAACCTGACCAAAATATTGTTTATTAAGGCCTAAAATAAAAACGAAATTTAACTGAATTGTTATTTAAAACAGAACTTCCAAAGTTTTAACCCCAGGTATTACTATCAGTGGTGAATATCAGCATTGGAGGAAGAGGTTACCACAAGTTACTGCTAATGATGGATTCTTTTTTTCCAAGCTGTCACTACTTGAATATCTTCCTGAAGTCTTACTGGAATGTGCATAATCTCAACAAATGTGTCAGCTTGGTTCATGAGCTTACAGTGAGTGTTTAGACTATAAAATAAAGCCATTTCTCCAAGACCTAGAGAACAGGTCATGAAATACACGTCCTTAATCTTGGTCTTTCATTCAAGTAATTCTTAGGGTTTTCTCTGCCTTGTTAGCAAAGGGTTTAATCAGCAAACTGCCTTTTTAATGAGGAACGGTGCTGTTCAGCGTGGCTTTGCAGGGAGCAAATTAATTGTTAACTCAATAGCAGAATGGGAGTTACAGTGAGCTTGGAAAACTTCTCTCCACTTCTAGTTTATTTGGAAGGACTCGTGATTTGAGACATGTGGAAATACTCCTTTGTAAAGCAATTTTCCTGCATTGCCAAAATGACCCCGGTGTGGTGCTGCTTTCTCAGTGCATTTGCAAGTTGACCTATTTTTGCACCTCTGGTGTTGCAGGGTGACTGCAGAAATAACGACTGGGGGAGGCTGGTCTTCTGTTGTCTCTTTTTTTTTTTTTTTTTTTTTTTTTTTTTTGCTTGAAAGGGCAATGATCTACCATAATCTACAGCGGCTGAATATTTTTCTTGAGTGCTGTTGGTTTGTGATTTTGAGATTCTCTTACTTAAGGTTGAATCACGGTAACTAATTTATGCTGAAATTGAGTCTTTGGAGCTTAAAAACAAGTCTTTTGAAATTAGACTTTTGAGAGACCGCACTAACCCAGCGTTTCACAGCAGCTGATGGTAAACAGTTTTAAGATCTGTTTTGAACAGACCAGTTTTCATTTTGTGTATGTCAGAAGTGAAAGCTATGAGGAATAATGGAATCTGCAGCTGATTAATTAGCTAACTCAGCAGAATTACTGAATATTTGGGCTATAACTCACACACTGTGAAAGAAGTTGGCATTTTGGAGATGCATGTGCCTGTTAGTTGCTGTATGAGAATTGTGCGTTGCCTGTTTACTGTGTATAAAAAAGTGCTTTTTTTCCCAAAGCACCTCTATGTCACTGGATTTTCTTTAAATATTTTCAAACTGCAGAATCTTGCTTTACTTGGTGCCTGAGTTCCACGCACCAGTTTGCTTGGGTGTGCTCTCCCACACCTAACAATAATTGTGTGGACACCAAACAGGATGAGCTGAGCAATTTTCTGTACAGTCTGGAGACAAATTCTAGCATTGGAATAGTTGGAGGGGGGGAATTAGGAAATGTGAACATGTGAATTAATGTGCAGCTAATATTCATAGCCACGTTTCCATAATTGCATACAAATTGAGACTTTTTCTGACAATGTTTGGTACAATAGGTGTGGGCAGCTATTCTTTCCAGCCAACTTTGATCGAAGAACAATGAAAACTTCAGAAATAATTTGGTACTGTTGGTTAAGTCCTTGCTTTTTCTGAAGTCCCATAGTTACATGCAAACTCGTGCCACAGTGAGCTGGGGAATGCACCAAGAGTCACCATGTTACGTCTTGCACTTGTTACTTCAGTAGCCTTCAGTGCAGCCTACAAAGATGTTTTTAGAATATATATAGGGTTTTTGATACTCAGCTGTTCTTACAATATTAGCCACTGATTAGTAAAACTGAAGAGGAGAGGAATCTTTGCATAATGAATAATACATTGCATCTTTTTGCAGCTATATACCGTGCTCCGAGAGAATACATGTGGCAGTAACGGAGATGGCAGCTTTGTTCCCCAAAGTAAGTACCTTTCCAGCATCAAAATGGTTTTGGCCTCGTTCCTCATTAGTGGATTTCCCTTCAGTGAATGAAAACCAAAAGCCAAAGGCAGAAAGAAATGACTAGATGGGTTTTGTCACATCTTGCATCTTTGTATTTACTAGCATGTCAATTGGGAAGGGCTAACGTATGAATCCAGGCCTTTAATTTTACTCTTAGAGTTAAAAAACTCTAAGAATTGCTTGTAGTTCCTTAAAAACTGGAGGCTGCTGGCATCTAGCTTGAGGAGTCATGTGGTTATATGGGAATTTTGCTGGACTCATCACCCCCAAATTTCCAGTTGAGTGTCATTGCTTGGGTTTCTCATTTGTAGGTCTGTTGAGGTGTTTCCCATCCACCAAAGCAAACTGTTTCTTCACAGCAAACTTAGTGAGTGAAATCTACATAGTTAAGTTTTTACACAATCTTACCCACCTCTGTAAAACTGCAAGGAAAACCTAATGTTTTTATGCCTGCCTGAATGGATTGTCTTGTACGTGCTGTACCCTGATGTCAGCTGGGCTGGGTTAGCACTAAATGGGCACCAGAAAACTTGTCTGAGTAACTTCCTAAGTGAGGACATGAAGCTGTATTCCCTGCCTGGCAGCAGCTTGAAATGTCTCTTCGATGAGAGAGGAGAAATTCCAGGAGCTTGTTTCCTCCTCCCCTATCCCACATCTTTCCAGCAATGTCTTATAACATAGAATCATAGAATCATTCAGGTTGGAAGAGACCCTTGGGATCATTGAGTCCAACCATCTACCCTACTCTACAAAGTCCTCCCCTACACCATGTCCCTCAGTACCACGTCTAAATGTCCCTTAAACACATCCAGGGATGGTGACTCAACCCCCTCCCTGGGCAGCCTGTTCCAATGCCCGACCACTCTTTCAGTGAAAAATTCCTTCCTAATATTCAGTCTAAACCTCCCCTGTTGGAGCTTGAAGCCATTCCCTCTCGTTCTGTCACTAATTACCTGTGAGAAGAGACCAGCACCAACCTCTCTGCAGTGTCCTTTCACGTAGCTGTAGAGAGTGATGAGGTCTCCCCTCAGCCTCCTCTTCCTCATACTAAACAGCCCCAGCTCCTTCAGCTGCTCTTCATATGATGTGTCTTCTAGGCCCTTCACTAGTTTCGTTGCCTCCTCTGCACTCGCTCCAGCACCTCGGCAGAGAAATCCGTGCAGAAAGCAGGGCCCGAGCAGAAGTTTCATATTAAAGAACACTCATCAACCACAAACAGCTAATTAAAAGCGATCCCGAAACGGATTTGTTGTTTTGTCTAGTTCAACTTCTTTCCTTTCCTTTCCCAGAAACCCAAATCTGAACTGGTAAGGACTTCTTTGCGTCTGCTGACATCTAGTGCCTACAGACTCCAATCCGAGTGCAAAAAAACCCTCCCCGTGGAGACGTGCCCCACCACGGACATCCAGCTGGTCACGCAGCAGGTCATCCAGTGCGCCTACGACATCGCCAAGGCTGCGAAACAGCTGGTCACCATCACAACCAAAGAGAACAACAACTGAGTCACAACTTGGCTTTTTAGTCTCGTTTTTTTAAAAAGGTCGGATTTCAAACATAGGTGTGGAACTATTCGCATTTTTACGAGGGAAAAAAAAAAAAACTAAAGGGGCAAGAAACTTTTTTTATGAAAAACTCAGTATTATTTTTGCATGTTTTCTAACGATTTTATGATTAATTTAACCCACTGCCTTATTTTGTGCCTGTGTTGCCAGTTTAGTTACAGAGAATAGCATGTTGCGAATAGCTGTTGAGCCATTATCATGTCCAGGCATCGTATCAAGCTCTTGCTAGATGTTTCCTTGGGGCCACCTCCTGCTTTTCAGGTATTGCTTGCAAAAAAAAAAAAAGAAAAAAAGACAAACTCCTGTTCAAGTCAGTTGCACGTATCGGAGGGCAGAATCTCACCTCCACTCCGTCCGCCCCGACGTGCTGTTCTGCCTCTGACCTGAGCAACCTGTAGCCAAAAGAGGCTCTGGGATCAGAACTGCTGCCCAGCAGGAAGAAGGTTGTAGTCCCGCTAACGGAGTACAAACCGAATTATTATCTGTTTCCCATATCAACTGTTGTGCAATAATATGTTTTTTAGTCTGCTAAAACAATAGTAGTTGTGGGCATCCCAGCTTATTACATGTAACTATACGAGGTCTTTGTCACTTTATCTGTTTTGGAAGGAATTTGAAACGTAATAGTTATTACTTTTTAGTTGTCACTATGCCATTAATATATATGTTTGATGTTACTTTAGGGCATTAGTGGTTAAAATATTATCCTTTGTTTCTGATTTAATAATTCATTCTTAAGTTTCCTACAGAATTTTACTGTCATCTTCAAGGCATCATCTTGTTTGCAGCAGCATTGCTCAGTAACTCAAGATGCAATTCAATTTCTGTGGTAATTAAAAAAAAAAACAAACAAAAAAGGAAGTTAGAAGAGTGCCAGTGCACGAGCAGCTCTGTCTGCCATAGCATAGAACCTCTGTACCTCAACATATCCAAATGTGAAGAGATTTTTGATAACTAGTAAGTTTTATGCAAATCTTTCAAGATTTTACATGTGGAATAACCTAAGCGAGGCTGCCTGTTAGAAGGGCAGGTGGGTGACAAATGTCAATGGCTTTTGGGGTTTTTTTTTCATTCATAACAGTTCACAAAACCGTGACAGTCCTTATATTCAAAAATGAGAGTTCTTTGGGAATCTAAATTCCATAGGGGGCGAGAAAAGTTACTAATTTTTGCCTCTGCCTGTGTCCCATTAGGAAGCATGTTGTCATTTGAAGGAGCTGGCAGCCACTTAAAGTGGTCTTTAAGTTAAGAACAAATTTAGGGAACGGCAGCAGCTGGTGTGAACCTTTAGACAGTTTTCACAGAAACTATCCGTGGTTCCACCATCAAGTCTGCAGCATGTGCTCTGCCAAACCCATCAACTCTTCAAGGCTTTCTGGTGGAAAAACTGCCATATTTAGGTGAACAAAGGAACTAAAGTTCAGTGGTTGGTTCCTTTTCAAGTCCTGCTGTGTTTGTATGTGTATATAAACACGAAGTGCCATAACACTGTTGGATTCCTGTATGTTGTAATTAGCTCTGGTTTTAAAGTAGTGTGAGTTGGAGGGAGGGAGGGAATGGAGAGAGCAGATGGCAACCCAGCTAAATTAATGTCCTTCATTGTGGGGTTTTTTTATTTCGTTTCTGCACTTTGGAATTTCACAACTGACCCTAAACTCACAGAAAAGCAGCCAGGCTGGGATTACAGCTTAAAAAACCATTTGTAAAACCTACTTCAAAGTTGTGCTACTGGCAATTAAATAAGTTGATAATCTTCTAGGAACTTTTCCTTAAATTGGCATCACTGAAAGGCAGCAGATGGTATTTTAAAATCTCTCAGGACACCACTGTATGCTTTTCTTTAACATATCTTACCTGATTTCCAAAGCAGGGCAGCACTGAGTTATGGTGCAAGTTATCAGTTGTTTAAACTTGCCTGTGTACCAAACCAAACAGATGCCCGGATAACTGCAAGCCCTTGTTGCAGCTCTGCTAGTTCTAGATTTCCTACAATCAACCATTTAACCATTAAAAACCTGGCCAACCTGTAATTGATTCCCTGTTCTGTCACTTAAATGGCATTTCTAGTCAGTTCCCCCATCTCTAAACAAATCTTTGTTCTAGGTTGGTTTGTTCTGGTCCATCATCACTCCAGAACCACGGGGACAGTGACGCAGGACAGGCAGTTTCCTGAGGTTCTCAGTAAAACAGCAGTGGTGTGAGCACACGTGGGTGTGCTGCCTCAGCTCTGCTCACAGCCATTCAAAACCCAACAGTGGAACTACAGAGTAGTAAGTAGATTGGCCCTCGAATCATACAGCACTGTAATACCTAAAACAACAATAGTGGGGGTTTTATTTTTCTTCCCCTGTAAACAAACTTGCTCCTTCTTTACAAAATGCTGCATAGGAAAGGAAAACTTTTTTTTTTTTGCCTTTTTTCTAAAACTTGTATTTATCAGTGTCGTTTTCTGTCTGTACAATATTTTGACTTAATCCTTTGTTTACTGTATTGCTATAAAAATGCTAAAAATCTTCCAGTCTGTGAAATTATGTGGGGTTATTTGATGGCTGGTTCTGTAAAGAAAAGATCTTGAAAAAGTTCCTGTGGCTGAGTAAAGCCTGTCGTGCTCAACCAGCGCCGGGACAGGATCTGAACACACCCTGTGTGAATGCTTTTAAGCTGAAATTGCAGCTTAATAATAACGAGGAACAATGATGATAATGAGGAATCAAGTGCAATAATCAGCTAAAAGTCCCCTCCCCTCCTGTTGTTGCAGCAGTTTCCTTGTGTAAAGTAACAAACAATTTATCAGGTTGCAATTATTCATTATTTATGAAACAAGTTTAAAAGAAAAAAAAGTTAATGAAGTCTTCAGCACCTTCTGGAGAGGAACGGGCCATGTTAAGAATTACTGCTGCAGCCCAGGTTATTTATCTTGCTGATCTGCAATGCGTTATGAATTAAGTCTAAAGGTCTTTTCAACCCAAAGGATTCTATGATTTTATAGCTGCTAAAAGCCAGCTGGGCCTCTTGGCATGTCCTGCTTCCCCGAGGTGGGAGCCTGATGCTTAAATAGCAAAGGCAGCAGGTAGTGGTTGATAGTTCCATGGGACACACAGATTCTTTCATGGTTTAGATCAAAGGGCCCCTTCACTTGCTGTGTCGCCCCAGTGTAGCATGTACTTTTAAAATACAACATCACAACTCCCAAACACAGGCAGGTGGAACCATGCAGTCCTCCAAGGATGCTGATGCCTCTCCATTCTTGAAGCCAGTAGAAGTTTGCTCTTGTGTTCAGCTGGGACACAGCTAAGGATTTTCAGAAATCTACTGAGTCAAGTCTTGACGTCATTGTAGGCTATTCCAAAGCCACCATTATTTCAGGAATTCCTTGATTCTTTGAAGTTTCCTTTCTGTACTCTGCAGCTGCCTTTAGTGCTCGTTCTTCAGGTGCAAAGGACAGGAATCCTCAGGTCCATGCTGCTTTTGGATATCTGTAGACCTAACGGCATCAAAACAGAGATTACAACTACTTAATGGGCTCTAGAATTAATCTTCCACACACCCACTATTCAACTTGCAAAGAAGGTACTTTGGAGAGTACAGAATATCCTCCAAGAAAAGGCATCAGTAGCGTTTAAGAGTTGATAATTTGAGGCAGTAACTCCTGCCAGCTTTCTCTGACTGCTGTAGCTACTGTCTAATAAATGACAGAGGTGAGTTACCCTGCAGAGTAGTTCATAGTTTGGTATGAAGAGTAGGATCTGCTGGGCATATGGTTCAGGTGAGGGTACTCAAATTCAGCTTAGATTTTAGAGCTAGGCAAAGCGTGGCAGAAGACAAGACACTGAGTGGCTGAGATGTGCATTAATGCAGCTAATGCTGAAAATAATTAACATTTGAGGCAGTAGCAACAAGTCTGCCCCAAACACTATTTAAAAATTGGGACCTAAAGCATCAATATCATCAAAAGAAAAGCAATTTATAGAAGAACTATAGACCTCTGTCAGAAATAGCACTAGGGGAAGGGAGGGGCCTTGTGGCAACTGAGGTGCAGATCAGAGGCAGTGACAATTCTGCTTGTGTGATGCTGTCACCCTCCCTGATGTGCTCGTGTGTCAGGGTGACCCGTGTGTCCCCTTCACACTGTGCTCGTGTGTCAGGGTGACCCGTGTGTCCCCTTCACACTGCTCCTTACCCTGTCCTGGTCCCCGCGCTCAGCCATGCGCTTGGCCTCCTGCCGCACTAACTCCTGGCTGTGCTGCTGCCCTGATCTCTCCTCCTCTTCCTCCTCCCTCTGGCGCTGCTGCTCCTCCTGTTCCTGCAAGCGGCGCTCGGTTATCTGGGCACAGAGAAGATGGGGCTTTTACAAGGAGATTGGACACAGACCGGGCACCTTGAGCCTGTTTGGAAAGCCTGCAGTACCTGTGCGGAAGATCAAGACACAGACCAGGCACCTTCAGCCTGTTTGGAAAGCCTGCAGTACCTGTGCCTCCAGCTCCTGCCTCCGGGCTGTCTTCAGCTCCTCCTCCCTCTCCTTCTCTCGCCTGCTCAGTTCTTTTGCCTCTTCAAGTTCTTTAATCAGCTGCTCTCGATACTTTATAGACTCTTCTTGGGCTCGTCTGTTTAACTCCATCTTCTCTTGGATCTGGCGCTGCCTGCCTGCAAGGACCTGTGTGAAGGGAGAGGATAAGTTAAGACTGGGGGAAATCTCGGTGCAGATGGTTAAACCGTTCTCAGGAAATGTATCAGACAAGCAGAAAAACTCTGCCCTGGGTGCTGTGACCCCCCTGGAGGGTGGAGGGTTACAGCTGAAACGATGGCTTCAACAAACTAAGAGAGACACCTCGTCAAAAAAAGGTCATCACCTCATTCATTAGGCGATCTCTGGCTGCCTTCTCTCTTGCCCATTCTTCTTCCCTCTTCTCCCACACTTTTTTAGCTTCTTCACTAAAAGAGAGGGGAAGAATTATCTCTAAGGTTACTACCTACTGTTAAAAAACCCCCTCCATGCACCGAAGGAAATGCTGGCTTCTAGTGGGACTTCTTGGATGTGTGGATCTGCCCCATCCACAGAAGGGCCTCAGGAGGAACTTTGCCTCTTCACAGGGGCAGTACTTCAGGCAGGGGGTGGGCAGTAAAGGGCATTGCTGGAAAAGCTGAAAATTCTGCAAATCTTCCCTCTGCAACAAACCATTTAACTAAATTTTGATGGTAGCACGCACTGTCCTGTCACCAGTGAAGATGCCCTCTGCTCTGGGGAGAGCATAAGGTGAACCTGAATGAGGAACCCGAGGCAGCTTTTATCTACAAGCTCTTAAACACTAAAGGAAACAATAAACGGGTTTGGGGTCACTTAGACTAAACCCCTCCACGTCAGTAATGCAGAATCACTGGAAGTTGGTTACAAAGAACTTGTAACTAAAAGGTAATTCTTGCCATCTGTGTGTTACTGCCTTTTTTTGTTCTCAAAGCTGATGTAACACAAATTATGGACTAGGTGTTGGGCTGAGGTAACTGAAAAACAAGCGCAGGCTTTGATGCTGTCTGTGCTGTAACATTCTTGTAACAAAGCTGAGTGGAGCTCTGCCACCCAGGCAGGACTATTCAGCACGTGCAGTCTCTTTAGATCATGCTCAGACTCACCTGAACATAACCTGCAGCTCTGCCTCCCTCTCCCTTTCTAACTGGAGCTGTTCCTCAATGACACGTTTCATCCAGGCAACATCTGCCATGGCTTTTTCTCGTCGGGCGGACTGGCGGTGCTGATCCTCATCTTCTTTCTCCAGGAGGGCTAATAAGATTTGCCGGTCTATCTCCTTGAGGGAAAAAAAACAAAAACCAAACACAAGATTAACAACCATCCAACAGGCTCCCAGCCTGTCTGCAGGAGTACTCTCTGCACATTATTGGTGACACAGTGTCAAACACAAGATTAACAACCATCCAGCAGGCTCCCAGCCTGGCTGCAGGACTACTCTCTGCACATTATTGGTGACACAGTGTCAAGGCTGTGCTCAGGAAGACACCCAGTCTGATGGTTTCACCATGGTCTCTTTGCCCCAGACCCGTTCACAAGCTGGAAGGGGCTTCCTAACTAATTATCTGTAGGCATCAGAGGCAGACACGTAAATGAAACACGGAGAACAAGTGTCTTCAGCACACAGTATCTAGAAGATGTAAATTAAGGGGTATTTTCTCTTACCAGCTCCTCTTGTATCTGCTGGGCTCGTCTCTTTAACTGGGCATTACACTGGTGCCTCAAAAAGCGACTGAAGGAGGAAAAGAGAAGAAACCATTCAAACTGGTCCTTCAAAAAGGACTCTAAAGCCCTATGTTGTTATAGAAGGTACATCCATGACAACAGGCAACAGAGGTACCCACTACCACTAACATCAACAAAAAGAAGTAACAGCACCAATGCATTTGCCTGTTGGCTGTTCCGGGTGCTTCCATCAAAACCTAAATATTTCCAACCCACAACTGCTACCTGCAACATCCCCTCGTGCCTCACATGCTGTTCCAGACATAGAAAGAGATTCTACCCAAGCTCTGTTGAAACAAGCTACACTCAATCTCGTACCCAAGCTCTCTCTTCTTCCGCTGCTCTTCCATTTGTTTCCTTTCTTCTTCCAAGTTCTCCAGCTCCCACTGCTGCTTTAATAAATTCTGCCGTTCTTTTTTCAGCTTTGTTGTCTACAAGAAAAAAAAACAACCACTAAGAAAGAGTATGTCAGAGCTGGATGTCCCAGAGAGCTTTTCTGCTGGAGTTTGTACCCTATTCTACTCCTTTACTCTTACTCCAAAATCCTCATTGCAATAAATATTCCACTTTAATTTCATTTGTGTCTCAGTGGCACAAGAGACACTGTGAGGAGCCCCAGATGACTAAGCCTTTGACCTGAGCCTGTCACACCTTGAAATTTCTACAATTCCTTTTCTCACCTGGTTCCCAGAAGCCTTTGACCTGAGCCTGTCACACCTCGAAATTTCTACAATTCCTTTTCTCACCTGGTGCAGCACAAAAGGGTGCTCACGTTTCAAGAGGAGCAAACAAAAGCTACCAGAATTCAGCTAATATGCCACTGTCCAGGGGAAGAGGCCTACGTCACGAACAGAAATTACGTCACAGCTCACTTTGTTCCAGATTTAATGTAGTAGAAACCCGGAGGGAAGAGGTCAGGCCAGTGTTGCTGTATTTCTATGTGAAACAATGATTTCCCTTCTCAAATGAGGAGAAGCTAAAGATTACCTCTGTCTCTTGTAATTTCAGTTCTTCTATTTGTTGAAGCAATGTCTCTGCTTGCTTCTTCTCTTCCAGCCGACGCTTCTCTTCCTCTTGTCTCATTCTTTCCAGCGCTTCCCTTCGCGCAATTTCATACTTGTTTTCATAACGTTTTTTCTCTTCAAGTTCAGCTGCTTCTTGCTTTCCGAGCCAAAAGAAAACATGGCATTTAAGGTTAGGCTAACGCAAAGAAACAGCCTCTGGCTCAGGAAAATCCACAAATCAAACTCCTGCAAGCTGACACGTATTGGGAAATCATGGAACAAAATACACCAGGAAGGAACACAAGGACAAAGCTGAACTATCTGCTCATCACTGCCTGAAAATGGTTATGGGTCTATACACGTCCTTCACATGACCCTGCCCAGGTGGTCTCACAAATACTCACAAATACACTCAGATTTTCCTATTCCAACCTAGATTGTTGTTTTAGTTAACTCTGAAGGACCCTGCCCAGGTGGTCTCACAAATACACTCAGATTTTCCTATTCCAACCTAGATTGTTGTTTTAGTTAACTCTGAAATCTGTAATTGAAGGCCTCCTACTTGTTAAGCAGGAATGATGGCTCTTCATTAAAAGCATTCTTTCTGCTAGCAAGTCCTGTCCTTCTGCAGACATCAGGGAATGAACAAGGTTCAAAACTGGTGTGAGAAAAACAAACAAACAGCCAATTCCTATTCCTTCCACATCCCAGCCATGCGCGTACAGGCAGGCAGGCTGTCTGCCATCTGGGCCAAAAGGGACACAGAGTCACACCTCCACCCACTCATGCATTTCAGGAATCTGCCCTAGTGACCAGTGACACCAAGGCCAGCCCAGCATACCTGTTTTTTTTGCATCACCTGGTCACCCCAAGCCTCCATCACGTGCTTCCTGTGCAGCTCTGACTCCACCTGTAGACAACAACAGACACCATTAGTGCCAGAGGCTCTCCTGTCCCCCAGGATCTACTGGACTCTCTGGAGCACCATCTGTCCCAGCTGGAGCCCCATCAGGATCTGCCTCTGCAGAGGTGGGCTCGTCTGGGTGCCCTCAGAGCCCACCAGGGTCCCATGCTGAGGGTCAATGTCACATGCCAGTTCTGGGAAACACTACGGTGACACTGAAACCAGAGCTGTGGCAGCTCAAGCAACAGGTCAACAGAATAAAGAATAAGGAAGCAGCAAGGACACGGCAGGAACAGCTTTTAAAAGCGGGTCAATGTCACATGCCAGTTCTGGGAAACACTACGGTGACACTGAAACCAGAGCTGTGGCAGCTCAAGCAACAGGTCAACAGAATAAAGAATAAGGAAGCAGCAAGGACACGGCAGGAACAGCTTTTAAAACCACCTGACAAATTTACATCACAGGCACTGAAAATCTGCTCTGAGTCAGAACAGACTTCTGACTGTTTTTAAAAAAAAATACCAGCTATGAGAAGACTTCTTACAGAGTTAAGCAAAAGGCAAAGAAGAAAATCGCTTATCAGAACTTAGGACAATTGCTGTGATTCAAGATGAACAACAGCAGCAGATATATGATGACTTTTGTGTTTAATAAATGCAAGGCAGCAGGAACTAAAAAGAAAGTAACATCACCTGCCGGAGCTCTGCATTGTTTTTCTTCCAGTGCTCATACAGCAGCTGCTCAGCAACCTGGAAACACGAGAGGTGGGTTATGTCAGAATCCAGAACAATCTGAGATATCAAACCCTCCCAAGGCAGCTATTGGTTAACTGAACCAAGTGCTGAAACACGCAGCACAGGGCACTTCTGTCCATGGAATTACAGAATCATAGAATAGCTTGGGCTGGAAGGGACCTTTAAAGTCCATCTAGTCCAACCCCCCTGCAATGAGCAGGGACATCTTCAACTAAACCAGATCACTCAGAGCTCTGTCCATCCTGACCTGGGATGTTTCCAGGGATGGGGCATCCACCACCTCTCTGGGCAACCTGGGCCAGCATCTCACAACTCTCAGAGTGAAAAATGTCTTCCTTGTATCTATTCTGAATCTTCCCTCTTTTAGTTAAAGCCATTACCCCTTGTCCTATCGCAACAGGCCCTACTAAAAAGTCTGTCCCCATCTTTCTTATAAGCTTCTTTTAAGTACTGGAAGGGGCTCTAAGCTCTCCCCAGAGCCTTCTCTTCTCCAGGCTGAACATCCCCAACTCTCAGCCTGTCCTCACAGCAGAGGGGCTCCAGCTCTTGGATCATCTCCTTGGCCTCCTCTGGACCCAATTCAACAGGTCCATGTCCTTCTGATGTTGGTGGCCCCAGAGCTGGACACAGTGTTCCAGGTGGGGTCCCCCCAGGAGAGAGGGGCAGAATCACCTCCCCACTTTCCCTGCTGGCCACACTGCTGGGGATGCAGCTCAGGATGCAGTTGGCTTTCTGGGCTGCCAGCACACATTGCCAGCTCATGTTGAGCTTCTCATCAACCAACACCCCCAAGTCCCTCTCCTCAGGGCTGCTCTCAACCCCTTCATGCCCCAGCCTGTACTGATACTGGGGATTGCCCCAACCCAGGCACAGGACCTTGCACTTGGCCTTGTTGAACCTCATGAAGTTCACACAGGACCACCTCTCAGGCTTGTCCAGGTCTCTCTGGATGGCATCCCTTCCCTCCAGCGTGTGTCTCCACACAGCTTGGTGTCACCTGCAGACTTTCTGAGGGTGTGCTCGATCCCACTGTTTACATCATTGATGAAGATATTAAATATCCATCCCCCAGCAGGTGCTATTTGCACATCTAAAGCAATGGAGTACCCTTGCCAGTCCTGTCACTGGGAAGGGTTGTTCAGTCTCCACACAGCTTGGTGTCACCTGCAGACTTTCTGAGGGTGTGCTCGATCCCACTGTTTACATCATTGATGAAGATATTAAATATCCATCCCCCAGCAGGTGCTATTTGCACATCTAAAGCAATGGAGTACCCTTGCCAGTCCTGTCACTGGGAAGGGTTGTTCGACCGCTCCTTCATCGACAGAGATGAGGCACAAACCCCAGGCTGGGACTCCTCTCCCGGCACCGTGCACGGCGGTGAGAACCCAACACAGGGAGCCACGGGGGTCCCCGCTGCTCCCCTCACCTTCCTCCTCCGCTCCTCCCGGCCGGTGCGCAGCTCCTCGCTCCGCTGGCTCATCCCGGGGAGCTCCGTCCCGCTGCCCCGCTGCAGCTCCCGCAGCTCCGCCGCCAGCGCCTCCCGCTCCTCGCCCAG